TGTTCTAATTCTGTCCATGAGGGCTTGACAAGGCAGTGGGAACATAAGCTTAAAAAGTCATGCAAGCGGTCTAGTAGTAAAATAAGACACGAAGGACAGAAAAGTGAGAGACAATCCAGGGAAGAGGAGAGGAATGCTCATAAAATCAAGAAAAAGCGAAAAAAGCTTTCTTCTAATTTTTTATCCGATGAATGTGGCTTTTCAGAGACGGACAGTTGCATGCAGCTGGAGTCGCTCAGAAAGATACGGAGAAAATGTAAGAAAATGTTCCACAAAAAAGTGAAATTCAAGACACTTCACACCACCATGGCAGCACCAGGTGTGACCCCTCGTGATGGCTCACCCCTTCAGGAGACCCTCCAGAGGAGAGGTGAGAAAGAGGGACACCACAACTAAGGGGACTGAATTTGACAGACTCTGCAGGTGAGGTCAGTCGCCACAGTTCTTACAGTGATGAATGGTGTTTTTAAAAAGAGTTTTAAAAATTATAACTATGGCATAAAGAAGCAGTGCAGCTTCTCTGCAATTACAGGTTTGTTCAGTTTAGCTCAGAAGCAGTACACACAGCTGCAGCTGAAGAGTAGTATTTGTCTACTTAATTGGGTAGCAAAGTATCTGGCATGGGCGTTTGCAGATGGGTGCTTATTCTGTTAAAAGAACATGCATGCTAACAACATGCTTTAGACAATTAAAACATTGATAGGCAATTAATATGTGGCACAGCTGTGTGGGGAGTACTGTCAGAGGTTAGTGAATTTCTGTAGAGGTAATCATCTGATTTTCATGCAGGATTGCTATTGGCAGTTGTTACAGCCCGTTCACAATTTACTGTGCTTTCAGTTGGTTGGTGGACACCTTATACCACCTCCCCATACCCTTTTCCCTTCCTGCCTGCTTGACAAACTCATTTCAAGTAACTTTTTCATATACTTATCTACAGGAGATGAGAAGAAACTAATGCTGGGAAGAGAGATGGATGAAGACGTCAGAGGATGCCCTCTATTTCCTCTTGAGATAATTCAGACAAACCCCTGCTCAGATACTTTCTGTGGAGCAGAACCCAGAAGAGGATGCTGAACAGCTACGATATAATAGTTCTGAATTTTTTGTACAGAAGTGGGAGAAGAAAGCCCTTTGATCATTAAAAGGTATATGAAATACTGGTTTGGGTTTTTTTTTGCTTAGGTAATTCCTTTGGTTAGAATATCTGACTGGTGCAGTGAGCCACAAAAGCAGAATCTGTGTTTGCCTTTTGGATAACAGAGGACCAAAACTTTCCCCAGGGCCAGACAAACTTTCATGGACCGGCTGCTAAGAATTTGAAAGGACATGAATTGAGATCTTGGAGAGTTATACTTTGATTAAATGTAGGGAATCATGTAAATATCAAAATCACAGTATTTAGTAATGAGTCATTGGAAAAAGGCATACTTGTCAATCCTAGAGCAAGCATATGAAGTGCCTCCTCAATCAGATTGTTATAATGATGGGACTGGAAGGTGTGGGGGACATTTACACTCAATTGTGTGAAGTAATAGATTTCCAGATATGAAAAAAAATCTCATCTTCTGTAAAACCCACACTGGAAAAATACTTGTTTTCTATTCACAATTCTAGAGGTGTTTCTGAAAACTTGCTGGTCTTTGGGAGGAAGGATTTCACTGAACTTGTGCTCGATGTAGTGTTCCCAGGAATCTGAATGGTTGTCTAAGCAAAGCTCTGAGTGTTGGATAATGAAAGGGCAATGCTTCTCAGCCTGCTGCTGACAGTCCTCTGTAAATGCAGGTTGACAGTTTGTTCACACAATTTCCAAGGCACGTGTGGTGAGGTAGCTATTTAGTACGAGTTTGCTTACAAATAATTTCCAGAGGAATTGTGAAATGTTGTCGGACTTGTGCTGCATGTAGGTAAAAATGTGAAAATGCAGTCTAGGAGCTTGAGTTATATCCATATTTATTCAGCTGGCTATATCTAGAAGACAGCCACAATTGCTTTTGGACAAAGTTCCTTAGCAAGATATAGAGGACCAGCTCAAAGTTCAATACACTGATTATTGCAGCTTTCATTTTATTAATGCTTTATTTATTACATGCCAGTAGACTAAGTTAATGTGAAAATGTTGCCTTCATTACATAGAATCTTACCCATATTTGTAACTTCTGCTCTAATAAATAGTAATAAAAAAGAATAATTGTAATTGTTTGTGGTAGATAGATTTTCCCCCAGTCTTCAATACTGGTGATTCCTACAGGCTTCTAAGCTAGGTTTCATCAGCCTTCTCTGTTCATATGTTCAGATGTTGAGTGCCTTTTCAGGGTTATGAATGACAAATGGTTGCTACTCAAAGTAGTGTTAATCTATTACTTTTATCTAAAAAGATCTTATTTTCTTGACAGAAATATTTTCTGACTATTTTGGACAACATTTATGCCCCTCTTAAGTCTCCTTTTTAGTATTTTATACAGTTCTAATGAAGATCAACTGTTGTACTTGTTGACTGTGTAAAATGTTTTCAGTTGCACTGATGTGACATACCAAGGGTGTTTTTTCTCTATGCAATATTTGCAGATTAAAGATGACAAAACTTCCCCCTCTGTCAATCCATAGGCAGTTCTGTGTCCATGAGTACCTGTTTCCCATGAGACAGGCCTTTTGATTACAGGTGAGGAAGTTATTTCTTTTTGTTAATCTGGGGGAGAAGGAACAAACGATTTCCTTCAGTGTAAATTTCCAGTGTTTTATCAACATGCTGGCACAATATTCAATAACAAATAAACACTCCAGTTCTGCAATTGCTTCTTGCATTCACCTACATTGATTGAAACTGATAAAGCAAATCCTCTGTCTCCAAGTCCTCATTCCATGTAAAACCTCGTTAGTAAATAAAATATGCATGCACTTTAAATTGAGACACCATTGTAATCTTCATACTGAAACAGAACTTTTGGGATTCCTATTTGTTTATAGGTGACATTATTTAGAATCTGTTTTCAGGTGTTTTAATGTTAATTCATTACTTTTCACAAGATCATAGAATGGTTTGGATTGGGACCTTAAAGACCATCTTGTTCCACCCCCTGCCATGGGCAAGGACACCTTCCACTAGACCAGGTGCTCCAAGCCCCATCCAACCTGGCCTTGAACCCTTCAGAGATGGGGTAGCCAAAGCTTCTCTGGGCAACCTGTGCCAGGGCCTCACCACCCTCACAGTCAAGAATTTCTTTTTCCTATCAGCACATTTAATATGAGCCCCATCCTTTCATATGCTGGACTGCTCAGTAAATTATATTATCCTGAAGTCTAATCTTTAAAGAGACATGTAACAGCTTGCTTTAAAACTTTTAAAATACATAGCTTTGTAGATTGGATTTTAGTAGTTACAGGAGTAAATGTCACATCTCGAGTATGAAAGTTACCTAATGTTTTGGCAATTAGAACAATTATTAGGTGAAAATATGCATTCAAAGCAGCATTTATATAGTTCAGCAGTGGCAATGTAGAACACCTTTCACTTCAAGCCTGGTGTGTGCTGTTGTGCCCAGCTGGTGTTTCAGGAGGCTGGGTTCTTTTTATGGAAACAGTTTAGTCTGACATGTATGAAGTAGGGCCCTGAGACTGCAGACCTTGCCATCAAATCTGACTTTTTGTACAGAACTAATGCAAATGCCTCCTCATAGAGCTGGTAAGAACTGAAGTCCTCTCAGGGAAGTTGGTTGAACAAGGCTTTGTTACTGAAAATACATGACCTGTGGGTTGTACCTTGTGCTGAATTCTGAAGTCAGAATCCTAAAGGCTGGTTTTAAAGCAGAAATACACAAAGCCCATTACATCAGTCCATCTGCTTGAAATACAATACAGCAATTATGATATAAAGCCCTTTCTTCTTAATCCAGGGGTTCCAGGCAATGCATAGAAATGCCTCACCTTTTGTAAAGCCCCTTACATAACTCTCAACAGAAGCATTCATTACTGAACTTTTGTTTAGCTGAAACAGCAGGAATTAAGAACAAATAGTGGTGATTAAGAGCAGGCAGAGTCCAGATAAAAGAATATCTGAATTTTACAAAGCCTGAGGGTATGACAGAACTGGTTGGAAATGAGATGCTATTCATTTGTTTTGATTTGTCCAGGAGCTCCTCGAATATTCCTCTGTGACACTCCTAACAGGTGTTGGACACTTCAGATGAGGGAGACTGGTGACAGTCTCTGCACTTAGTGTGTCATCACGTCCTACCTGGTTAATGTACAGCCTGATAAGCTGCCTGGCATGATTCTTTTTGTATAGTCATTGCTGCCAGTCGCTGTTGAAGGAAGGGATCAAGTTGCAATGAACAGAGAGTAAAAAAGAAGCTAAGACCCATCCATTTTCTACAACATTTTAGAAGGAAGTAAAAATCCATGCCTGCTGCTTCATGCTTTTGTGACTTGCTTCTTCCCCTTTCACAGCAAATTCTCTGTTTATTCTGACGAAAGTAGTGGTCTTACCAAAGTGTCATACCTCCTTCCCAAGAGGTATTAAGCTTTGTCTTGTGTTACTGCCCATTTTCTGCATAATTTTTGCTACTTTTCTTTCTGATGCATCACGTTGTGATGTACAGATTAATACTTAATGTCCAGTTCCTTAGGATATTTTATGGAGTAACTTAAGAGTCAGGTGGTTGGGTCTGCTGAAGGGTAGGTTACAGCCTAGCCTAGTTCCACCACATGACAGCTTTACAAAGCTCCATCTTCTGCTCAGTATTAACAATTATTTGGTGGGTTTTTTTTCTGCTTGACTCTGCTTTTGCAACAGCAAAGCATATTGTACAACATGAACATGTTGTCTATTTAATATTCTGCTAAAGTTATGCTACACAGAACTGCATTTACTGGCATTTGATTAGAACATATTATACTGATCCATGTGTTGGATAACGTAAAACATTGGAGAAAGACAAGATGAAACATTAGAGGAGGGTTAAGTATCACATGTGGTTGCAGTTAATAAAAACAAACACCACTATTATGCAAGAGTATTTTATTTTCTGCCTTAAACAAATAAAAGCACATTTCCAATTTGAGGTAAACCATTAGTAGTAGTTTGCAAAGAGTATAAATGTCTCTAAAAATAAAACAGCAACACAAAGGTCATGACAAGATCTACGTTTGTCTCTAGACCTTCATTAGGTAGTTCATACAGTACCACTTTATTCATGCTGTCAAACAATCGTGCTCTTCATTGGAAGGCCCAGTGCAACCTAAAGAAAATGCCAGGACAGTGTCTGGACTGAGGGAAAGTCACTTGTTCTCACCACAGATGGTATCAGACACTTTAAACGTGTTGCGTCAACTTGTTTATGAAAGCTGCTGTTGTGCAATGCACTCTACTTCTGAACACTGAAGTTTACACCTTCCCACTCAGGACTCAGTTCATCATTTTGGTCGTGTTGCCAAACTGAAACGACCAGACAGCCAAGCCAGAGAAATGAAATAGAGGGAACTATACCAGACAGGCACCCTGGGATATTCTGCAGCAGCGGAATCACCTGGACACAAAATGCATTTACAGGTGATCAGCAAATCATCAGTGATCTTGGAAGTTATGAGGAAGTTTTACAGAAGTATTTTGGATGATGATGAAGCACATTAACATTTTTCCTTGGTCAGATCCATTTACCCAGCCCTCTCTGGTAGGAGGCAGGCCACGTAGTAATTAAGCGTAGATGTGAGGAAAGAGAGCAAATAAGTAAAAAGCAACTCAAAGGTCAGGTCCCCATTGCTGGTTATGAATTAGATTGTGCCATTTCTTTTAATGGCAAAGTTCCAAAGCAACAAGTGCCTCAGCACAGAATGGCTTACACCATGTTATTTTATTGTGTACAGGAAACTTGTGTAAATTATGTTGACCAGGAACATTTTTCTGCTAGTTAAAGCTGCATATACAAGAGCACTTGTTAATCATGCCATACGAGCAACCTTTGTTTTTCTTATGCACAGGAATGAAGAGCAGCTGATCTTCCATGTTTAACATAATTTTATTGAAATTAACAGAAGAGTTTTACTAAGAAAATTGAATGAACAGTAGTCCAGTGCAGTCACACTTCATGGTGTACTTCTAGGGATGCCTAGTTCCACTCAGTATCTAAACCTTTGTAACACTTCAGATGTGAACAAAGAATATTAATCCACGCAGAATTATGCATGTTGAATACATCAAGTATTCGTCAGTCCTTATTAATTTTTAAGTATCTAAAAGTGATTTAACCTCTGAAAAATTCTTGATATTTTTTTAAAAGCAGTTAGTGTTTCACCTGTAAACCGCTAACACAACCCTCAAAAGCCAAATTATCTTATATAATATTGAATAACATTGCACAACAAAGGAGTACGGTGCTTCGTGGACAAATAAAATATAGTCCCTTTTCTAGAGGAACTACAACCCAAGGGCCAGACCCTGCAGAAGCTAAAACAGAAGAAGATTTAGTGGAATTTGTGTTGCATAGGTGAAGTTACTCATGTTTGTGTCCACAGTGGTAGGTTGTTAATGAAAAACTGGATTTCAACCTACTCTGCACTAAAAGGTGATAGCAGAAAACCAGTAATAGTCCTTTATTGCCAAAACTGCAGTTTACTTTTCCACAGATATTTGTTGTGCACACTTCTGATTATGTGGGTTTAAAGGAACACAGACCTTCAGTAGTTTGCCACTGAATTTGAAAAGGAAACCATTGAAGAGAAACAATTCACTGTAACTCTTGGACCTTTTGTAAGCATTGCTGCTGCTGCACCTTGTAAAACAAGTGGAATGTTACAAATGATCCTTTACGATTCAAAACCAGATTGTTCCTCACTGCACTCTCTACTCTTTCTTTGCATTCTGGGCATCTTTTTCTTCTTCGTCAGAGTACACAGTGGGTTCCTCCCCCTCCTTCAGCAGCTTACCAACATGATGATACTTAACTGGGGAAAAAAAAGAATTCAAGTAATTATTCTGCCCTGAAGATGTATCTTTTTTAACTCTGTTTTCTGAATTAACAAAATGACTGTATTATAATAAAATAACTCTGAGCAACTTGTTTCAAACATTGTGGGGAAGGAGCAGAGCCAAAATCAACCACCTGAATTACTACTAATGTTGTACTAAGTGTAAGAATCGTGCCAAGTGAATGTAACTGTAATTCTCATTCTATTGCCTAAGCCAAAAGGTGAATGAATGTAAAGACAAAAACCAGAATCCTGGATTAGATTATTTCTCTTGCCAGTGTCAAAGGTGGTTTTTCAACCAATGGCATTGTCAGATTACTTACATATTAAACATGCACATACATATATGCATATACACGACATATACACAACTTTGAAGGGGTTTTATTTTTTGTGTGTTGAAAATATCCAATAGGACAGAAGGGAGATCCTTTCTCTCGAAGATAAAGATGGATCTATTATCCAATTATGTGATTAAGCCTCTGATTTATTTTATATCTCTTTTTGAACCAAGATCATATACATGTAAGAACTGAGAGCTATATTATGTTGCCCATGTGTCAACTTCAACAAAGCAAAAGATGCCCTGGATTACAGGTATCTTTGCCTAGCATTGCTGTTATAATTTATAAGAATTGAAAGCAACTAATTGGCATATTTAATAGAAACACAGTAATAAAAACAGTGCAGTTCACTGTCAGTCCTGATGCTCAACTCTTGTAAAGGTACATTTAAACACGAGTTTAGGTCAGATATTTGGTAGCACAGTTCTGGTTTCTGCTACGTGCTTGTTAGCATAATAAAACAGCCATTCAGTGTGGCATGATTAACAGTCTTGATTAAGACAGGAAGAGAGCCAAAATAGTAGGGGCACATCAGGTCAGGACTGAGATGTTCTAATGACATGATGTGCAGGAAAACTCCACTGTAGCCAGCTAGAGTAAATCTTTGAACACTAGATTTAAAAACAAAACACATTTAATTTCCACTATACTACTTTTCGGTATATGCAATTTCTCTCGTGGATATATACATATAAATTCATCAGGACAAGCAACTGACATATTTATTTTTTGTCTTATATGAATAAAACTACTTGCTTTGGTGTTCACTCACTTAAAAGGCATCATGAGATACGGAGAAATTATTTTTCAGCAACAAGATATGCAATAGGAGGGGAAAAAAATCATACTAGTGGGCATGCACTGGTACAAGGTCAGCACAGCAACTTCCATAAAACTGTGGTTTGAAGTTGGTTTTGAGCAGCAAGTTGAGACACATGACACAAACCAGTTGGAACTGCTTTTTTAAACTTTTAGTACTAAGCGTAAAACAAGGCTACTATGAAAGTGACTTCCTCCTGTTAATTTTAGAGCAAACATCTCAAGTGTTCAAGTTGCCTTTTTTCCTCTGGCCACCACTGGCACGGCACACATCAGGCAGCTGGAAAGCACAGAGGGGACATTTGCCCATTTTCCTGATCACCTTCTGGGAGAGAAAGTCAACTGAATAGAGCTGTCTGTGAATCTGCCACAGCCACCAGCAAGGCCATGCAGAATAACTTACTGAGAGTAGAAAAAGTTCTATCAAGAGCTCCAAGGGGAAGTCTTCAAAAATACTAAAACTCAAGAAGTAAAAATTAAAATGTTACTGTTATTTCTGAGAAGCTGAATGGGACATAAGCTTCATTTTTCAGAGCATTAAAATCTATCAGTCTCTGTAGAAGGAGTCTTAACTTTATAAAAAACATGGTCTTTATTTCCATATCTTGTCAACTTTTTGGGTGGTCTTACAGATCTTACACTATGATAGAGTGCTTGTATCTGCTACTGTTCAGTAAGGAACAGAGGGAAGGAGAATGCAGGAGAACCTGACATTTCTCTTAATTCTAAGTAACAGTAATTCTAGTAACAGTAATTCTAGTAATATTAAACCCAGGTATTAATTTCCAGACTGATGCTTTCAGCTGGTAACAGCCTTTTGACCATTGCTTCCCCTCTTACACACCAGTTACTGACTTCTTTGTAAATAGGTTTAAAATTGCTTACAAGTGAATTGTGACTCCCAGTCCCTCAAGGTCTCTTGCTGTGTAGCGTTGAGGTCAGAGAGGTCATCGTACTCATCCCTCAGTGCCTCCTTATCCAGGCAGAAAGTGGCAAGACCTCGGGAGGCATCTCTTCCAGCAAAAATGCCATATGGACCCTCTTAAAATAAAAACATAAGCTGCATTATTACAGAGATAATGGATGCTGTGTGATCTTCATGGATCAGAGTCCCCAGACTAAAACAGATAAAGAGTTCCTACCCTGATCTGTGGGTCAGAGGTGCCTCAAGCTTCTGAAATGTTTTTAAGTTTTATGCTACTTGGTAATAAGGGAAAACAGAGGAAGAAGGCAAGAAACAAGACCATGGGAAAAAGACACTGAGTTTGCTACACCACAGTGGTGCATGGCACATACAGACAGGGTAAGGACAAGCACCAACTGGGAAGCACATCGTCAGAATGAGGAACAGAGGAAAGATTTTTAAGTCTGAGGTGAAATGAAAGTTTTCAAAGGGATGCTCCTGACTTAAAGAGATGAAAGGATGGCTTGACAGAAAAAATAGTGCAGATACTAGAAATTACTAACTTGCAAAAAACATCTATTAAAACTTTCAAAATGTGAGATGAACTCAAATTACCAAAACATGCAACTCACAGAACATCAGAGATACCAAGACAGACTCTTGATAAACTTCATTAATGATTAACTTGCTTGCATGACAAGCCAAAATTTGAGATATTGCATGTTGCAACTATACATTCAAAGTTCTTCTCAAGGGAGCTTAAGTAAGTTAGATGTGAACGCTGGTTACTGTAGAGCACATGCCATCTTCCGCTCCTCCCAAAGTGCGCTTTTTCCTAAATTCCTCAAAAGAATCTTACGTTTCCATTAAAATGAAAACCAAACCAGCCAGACACTGTGGTGAACCATTCAGCAATTACCAAATTAGATACAAGGGGCAGCTTTTACTGTTGTCAGGGAAGGCAGCATCCAAAGCATGGACTTAAAGTGGTTTTCAGTTTGTACAAATACAAAACTGCACATCTAACTCATCTGTACATATCATCTCGACTGCTGCAGAATGCAAAGTTACAGTCTGACATCATTCAGTGACAGTCTCCAGTCTATGTATGGACCAAAAGTATAACTGATAACACTTACAAATACACTGTGTATCCTGCACTATTCGTCTTGTCTCTAAGTAGCACTGGCAGCTCACTACTGCAGCTACCAGCTGTCTGGACAGCTCAAGAGTGGTTATGCCAGACAGGTCCTAGGACAAATCAGCAAGCCTGAGTGGGGCTTTTTAACAGGCGGCCTCTGTTAAAAATAAACCCCCACGCCCACGTGGAGGTGATTAAACTCTTGTACCTGGGTGCACATACTCCCACCCTTCTCATCACTGGCTGCTCTACGAGCATAGGTTATTCAATCTTTGCACGTTTGAACTATGCTCCTGCTAGGAAGGTGGCTTAATCTAAATTGGTAGATATTTAGTATAAATATTATGCAATAGAGTGATGTCCACTAAAAGTTGGGAAGGGAATGTAAACACTCAGAGAACGCTTGGCTTCTGCCGCCTGGCATCGGGCAAAGGCACCCCAGGCCGACGAAGCCGCCCAACCCCTTACGGTACTTGTAACCTGCCATGGGCAAACACACAGAATAATGAAGCAACGCTAGCTCGCAAAGCAGGAGTTTCTGCACCACCGAGGTCCGACCCTGGAGCCCGAGCGGCAGCGGTAACCCTGCCCTCCGCCTCTCTGGGAGGCAGCTCGGTGTGCGCGCCCTTCCCGGCTCCAAGCCAGCCGTACCCTTCCCAAACCTCCGGAGCCGGAGCCGGCCCACGACGCGGGTCAGGCAGGAGCGCGGATCGCGCTGACCGCGCACCGAGGGAACGCGCTCCCGGCAGCAGCGGCTCCGCCCCGCCCCGCCAACAACCGGGTGGCCGCGCCGGGCCCGCCCCGGCCCTCACCGGGCCCGTAGAACTTCCTGGCGCGGGTCACGTCGAAGACTTTGCCGTTGACGGCCATGAGGATGCGCGGGTCGCTCACGCCGTCGAAGGGCCGCAGCTGCGCCAGGGTGAAGTCGCGGCGCTTCATCTTGGGCAGCGGCGGCGGGTCCGCCTCGCCCGCGGGCGCCGCGGGCCGCTCGCCCCGCAGGATCTGGTAGAGCAGGAAGAGGCAGAGGCCCAGCAGGCTCAGGTTGAGCGGGGAGCCCACGATCTCCAGCAGCAGCCCGCCGGCCTCGCCCGCCGCCTCCTCGCCGGCCACCGCCGCCTCCTCGCGGGCCATGGCTCCGGGTGCGCTGCAGCTCGGCGGGTCTGGGAGCGCGGGGCGGTGGCTCCGAGCGCTGCCGGCCCGGCGGGGCGGGCCCAGGGGCGGTGGGAGGGGCGGCGGGCGGGGCGGTGCCGCCCCCGGGCCGGGCGGGCTCGGTCCGAGCCCTTCGCCGGCACTAGGTGGTGGTGCGGGCCCGGGATGGCGAGCGCTGCCCGGGGACACCGCGCAGCTGAGCCGGGGGCGGCCCCGCCGGCCGCTGGTCCCCCCCGAGGCGGCGGTGGGGCGGGTCAGGCCAGGCCGCGGCGGCGGCGGCTCCGTGGAACACGGGTCCACGGCACACGGTTCCATAGAAATTCCGGAAAAAAGACCCCTCTGCGTTGCGTTAGACTCATGTCAGAGCTGTCGCGCTGGGCTCTGGGAGCCGCCGGGCCCGTCGGGATGGAGGACGGAGGATGAAGGATGGAAGTTGGATCAGGCTCTGCTCAGTGGTGCCCAACAATAGGACAAGAGGCAATGGGCAGAAACTGATGCACAGAAAGTTCCACCTGAGTATGAGGAAGAACTTTCCTATGCGTGTGACCGCTGGAACAGATTGCCCAGAGAGGGTGTGGAGTCTCCCCCTCTGGAGAACTGTCTGGACACAATCTGAACCTAGCATTGGGACATTTGTTTATAGAAAACCGAAAGCAGTGCATTTCATTTACTTTCTACTTCTCAGTGTTAGGAACATTTTAACTCTGTGGGCCACAGGAGATACTGACGAAGTTTTGCCTTTTGGGATACACTCAAAACCTCTGAGCACTAAGACATTTAAACATGTTGGCTCTTTCAAGGGAGGGTGTTTGGTTCCATCTGCTGTCTCCTTTGGGAAGCTCCTTGTTTTATTGATCAGCACTTGAACTTTAATCTGTCCTTTCATGGTATACACTGACTTTTGCTTCCACCTGCTGTGTAACTGGAAAAACTACTTGTTTCATTGATCTGACAACTGAGATTTGTACTTGTTAATAAAGTAGCTCTGAATTTTGGCCCTATTTAGTATACTAGAGAAATATCCAAACCGTCAGATTTATTCAAACTGTAAGCTGTATTACCTAGTTAATTCTGCTCATTGTAGACATGAGACTATTACACTTCATTGTGTTGATATTACATGTTATAGGGATAGATGTAGAAAAAAACCAGAAATTTTGGTGGAAGATTTTTCTTTCATTTTTTTTTACAACACATTTTGTTCAAAAGCAAGGAAAAAAACCCCAGACTCCAAAACAACTCCAGCCCTGAATTTAACCTTGAACCAGACACTGAAGTCAAGGAAAAAGAAGCTTTGTTTATGCCTAGTATCCTAGAGAAACCATCCAAGAACAGTTCATTCTTAGATAAAGAAGGGCCAGGAAACATTGCCAAGATTGATAGAATCTCAAGTTATCTGCCACACGAGCACTGTTACTGCAAGTTACAGTGGCCAAACTTCCAGCTCTTTTTTTACCTTCCAGCATATAAAAAATAGTCATATGCCTAAGAATGCATCTTAAGAAAAAAAAATAGGAGCAGACATTTAGAAATAAGTGGATATGAATAAAATTATGATAAAATCAGTCACAATTATCTAAATTCATGTACCCTTCGCTATACATTTCTCTCTAGCAAGCCTATGTGTCAATTCCTTTAAACAGGTTCTAGTCAGAGAAGAGTTGGCCCCAGCTCTAGTTAAATACCTCAGGCATCAGCCATGCTCCCACACAGGTTTTCCTCTGCATCCGAGAGACAATAGCTTCCTCCTTGAAACCATTCTGTTAACACCTATGAGATGGGTTGATAGAGCAGTTCTAGTAAAATGCTCTCTTATTAATTGAAGAAAACACTGGAACTCAGACAACTTTCATATCCTTGCAAATCAGAGTGGTTCAATCGGTTTTAAAATATTTCTACTTGTATCTTTTATAAGCAGCATAAATCTGTTAGAGATGAAGGAAAAGTAGCTCTACTACACCTCAGCATTCTTCTTACTGCTCTATTTCCACTTTGGAACTTGTCTGGTAGATGTAATGCATCTTTTAGAGCATATGTAATGCTTCTAAACAAAGTGTGCTTTGCCTAGGTTGCCCGTGGTACATTTTATCTTGGCAAAATACCTGGGGACCGTTGTTGCCAAGCTGGTTTTGGGCCTCACATTCTCTCATTGGAAGGCCTTCACAGGAATTCCTTTCTCTGAATTACCTGATTGACCATTTTAATTTAATCTATGACTGCAAGAAAGTTTTCCAAAGTTTGCAAAGATACTAATGCCTAATTTGCATTACTTGTGAGCTGATTCCCAGAGCTGCTGGTCACCTGGAACTATTGCTGGCTTTCACTTGACCTGCAAGGACCCAGGGTTTCTGAAGCAGAGATCTTAGTCTTTGAAATTACTGAGAACTGGTGACGAATAAAATCACTGGCAACTTAGATTTTTGCTGCCCAGACTAAAGGTTGATTTGTAGCTCCCACTTGACATTTTGAGAGACTTCAGGAACATGCTGTAGGATTGCAGTGCAAACAGCTCGTGACACCAAGTAGCCATAGAGAGGCAATTTTTGCCTTATGGTCCGATGGCCTCTTGGAACCTGTAGACTTCCCTAAGTAAAGAATTTAAAAAGCAAGATTAAATGTGCCTTACAAGGACACCAGGAAATCAAACCTTCTACGGAGACAATGTCTCATATGAGACCATTCAATATTTTTATGTAGGCAAGCTCTATCATGTCTGACTAGTTTGGTGTAATACGACTATTACATCTCCCTCTTTTTTTCCTCTCTGTTCCCTGCCCTCAGTAATAATTTAACTTTCTAACAAGGAAAAAGAAAGGAAAGATGAGATGGGGTAATCTCACACTTCTTTTACTGACTAGGGCCTACCTATGCCAAGGAGGCAGAACCCCTCCCTAAACTGCAGAGATCCAGTAGGTCAAATGTACTAATGCTGGCAGAAGGCATTATATGAAGTGGATCTGTTCCAGGTGCAGATCTAGGAATGCCCTGAATTACTTCTAGTCCTCAGATCAAAAGCAGCGAGCATTTTTCTGATGGACAATTCTTTTTTTTTTTTTTTAGTTTTTATTTCCATCTCCGCCACATTTCTGTTTCTTTTTTCAGTTGCATTTTCTGTCTTTCTAGCTGTGCTCTCCATCCAGTTAAGTGTGAGAAGAAATGGCTGCAATGTGAAGATGACACTGTGCTGAAGGCTATCAAGACCGTGTCATTCCTGCAGATATATGTGTACACATCTGCAGCATAAAACAGTTCCAGATGGGAATTTTTACCAAGTTTTAGAAAATGTGTTGGAGAAGGTGATTGGAAATGCAGAGACCGCTCATGCTGGAGAGTTGCTTTCCTCAGAAATACACTGTTGTGAGCTTGCACCTAAAATCTTCCCCACACCAACCTTATCTTCCCCCTTGCTTGCTTGTCTTTTAGGCTGCCAGGACTATGGGTGTTGATTCAGTCATGTCAAACAGGACTGACAGTCACCATGACAAGAAAGCTTGCTCGGTCCGTATGTACAGCAAGTACACTAGGAAGTTTTGGAGGTGTCTTTTAACTATAGATGGAAATCTAGGTGTGAATTCTCAATATTGAGTCTTTTTTTTTAAAGGCAGCAGATGTCAGAAACAATCTGCACAAGCTGCAGATACTTCTGGAAGAGGCAAGGAAAAGAAAACACAAATCCACATGTGATTCTTGCAATGTAAGAGGTTCAGTATCCCTAGAAAGCACACTGATTTACACTGGAAGAGTAAACAAAATCCCTGACTTCCTGAAAATAACAGCCTGGATTTGCTTACAGACCTGATGAGCCAGAAGGATTTTATGTATCAGAAATAACTGGATGACAGGAAGGAAACCTGGTGCACTCCCAGATCAAGTCAAACCTGTAGCACTGTTAGTGGGAGTAGGAAATGTTATCTCTGCTCCGTTAGTTTTGGACAGGGAAATGGTATCCATTGCATGTACATGTGTTGTTCACAAGGACCAATTTTTACTTACACTGGAGACATTACTTTGTATTTTGGATTACATGAGCCGTCTTCACTTGTGTCACTGTATCCCTGAAGTAGGGCCTGTTATTTCTCTGCCACTGGGATGCAGTGCCAGTTCTGCTACAGAGCAGATCAGTCTGTTTCAGTGGGAATTGGCAACCAGCTTCAACATTAATAGAGTCAAAGGTTAGAAGAAGGGAGGTATCAATAAACTGTGAGATTTTCTATGCAGTGTTTCTGCAACAATTTAATTGCAGAAATGCAACAAGATAGGCAGGGATTCTCATCTCGGTTTATTTAGCTGGAATCTGCTAAATTGATTACAATTTACAATCTACTTGATTACAAAGAGGGCTTTTGTTACCTTTCTTTAATCTAGTTTAGTTTGGTGGTCAAGTCCAAAGCAACACAGACAAGATGGGGGTGACTGAGTAAAAAGGAGAAAACCATAAAGGAAGACAGACATGTGGCAGGATTATCACTTGGGTTTTTTTTACACGTCCATGTGCAAGACAAATTTTTGTCTGATTATTTTTATCCTTGGTTTTCAGACCTTATTCAATAGTTGAAGACAATTCAGTCATGTGTAGTTTGACACAAACTAAAATGCTAAGTACTAATCCAATAGAATCCAGTTTTCAACGCGATAAGGAAGCACTCCGTTAACTTCCATCTGCTCTAGTTATACGATGTCCTCAATGGGAAAAGCTTTCAAACCCTCCAAGTCACCTCCCAGCCTGAGTGATGTTACCTGTGTCACTTTGCTGAGAAGATGCCTTGCATTCACGCCCTCCAGGCAATGTGCTGAATGACGTCTTAGGTCAAGCTTAATGTTTTCCCAAGCCATTGTGTCTCAGGAGCTGGGCCCCAGAACTGCCATTACCATCACATGAAGCTGAGTCAGGAGAGGTTTAGGTTGGGTATCAGGAAAAGGTTTTCCACCTAGAGGGTGATTAAGCACTGGAACAGGCTCCCCAGGGAAGTGGTCACCAAACCTGTCTGAGTTCAAGAAATGTTTGGACAATGCTCTCAGATGTCGGGGTGTCTTGTGTAGGGTCAGGAGTTGGACTTGAGTATTCTAATGGGCCCCTTCCACCTCAGGATATTCTATGATTCTACGACTCTGTGATCGCGCCTCTGTAAGATTTCGTGGACAACAAACCCGCGGGAAGCCCAGGAAGCCTTGAAGGTAGCACAGTCTTCCCGTCCCGCAAAGGCGTGAGAAAGAGCCAAAATTCGTGCAGTGAATATGTCAGGTGGTCTCCGACGCCCCGCGCAGGTTTCGGGCGGAGGCGGGGGTCGGTCGGGCCCCAGGGGTGTCCGTGCTGCTCCCGTGGGACCCCCCCGCCGGTAACACGGTGGCGGGAGGTGGGGCCGGTGCCCGGTGCCCGCGGGGCGGGGCCGCCCGGGGCGGGGGCGCTGAGCCGTGCGGGGAGCGCGGGCGGTGAGTGGCGGCGGGGACCGGGACAGGGAGGACGGGCGGGCGGGCGGTCACCGGGAGGGGCACGGCCCCGGCCCCGGCCCCCGGCACGGGAAGGGCTCCTGCCGCCGCTCCCGCCCTCCCGGCCGCTCGGTGCCGGGGGAGCTCCTCGGTTGTGTCGGGCGTTGCACACGCGGAGCCCTGGGCGCTCGGCAGCTTTGGGATAACGCTGGCGGGTGTTCCGTGGCGGAGGAGAGCGGCGTGAGCTTTCTGCGAAGCATTCTTTGTTCCGATGCTGTATTCACCGGCTACCGGCTCCCTACGTCTGCGAACGCTCCACGGGCATCCTCGTCCCGAACTACAGACTCGCAGGCTTCCAGTGTCGGATCTCCGCATTTTATGCTCCAAAACAGGTTTTTAACCCTAAGTTAGTTAGCTGGAGTAGTTATGGTTGTTAATATGATCTGGAGTTTATTTTGTCTCTTGCAGCGTTAGTGGAATTGCTGGAATTGGCGGCTGTCTCCCAGGAGTGAAGTCTTAACACTGGTATGGGCGCTGGGAGAATCCATGTGATCTCAGAGCTAGTATGAAGGAGTGACGTGAGAGAAGTAGTAAAGGGTCAGATACATGAGCTGTAGTAGATGAAAAGACACCCACTGTGTAATTTCTGTCCTCTTTGTTTTGCTGAGACACTCCATAGCTTGATCTTGCAAACAGCTGTATGCAGGAGTAATGCCTTAATGACTTTGATGAATTTCCTGTGATAACTATCCTTGTACAAGTCAGTGTGGCTCATGTAAGGGCAACTGCTTTCATCCAGGTAACAATCTGCAGGCAGGGTATGAGCACAAAATATCCAAGAACCTCAGCAAACCACCTCCAGTCTTTTCCATAGTGTAGACCAAATCCTCTCTTGAAAATTGAGGAGTTTCTCATTTAAAATGTCCCTTTTCCCAAGTAATCTGAAGTATACTATTAGGAACCTTTAAAACAGAAAAGCAGGTTTGGTGGCATTATCTTTTATTAACAGCTTCACCATCGTGAGTTTTCTATTTCTGTTTCCCTCACACTATATAATAGATGATAATTAGGACTCCAATACTTTTGCAGGTACACCGTAAGATAGGAAATACAAATATATTTGTCTTGCTGTTACAAAACAAATACAGTGAAAAATTAATCCAGTGATTTCATGAGCATGGAATTACTTTTTGCACTGTTTGGTTGTTTATAGTTTGGACTTCTAGCTATATAATATACAGACCACGTTGCCAGTGCTTCAGGCCAGTTCATGAATACTGCACCTGGAAAGTTACACTGACTTAGTGAAATTGCTCATGTGTCGGCAGATGACTTATCACAAGATGAACACAGCTGCAATTCTCCAGCTGAGCTCCTACACACCATAAGAAAATGCAGCCCTGTTGCACAGGTAGGGTGTGAGGTTTGCAAGGATTCCAGAACTGTCCAGTACTACAGAGAATTTTGATCCATATCTGCAAAACTAAAAGTTTACTCGGTTCTTACTCATTATAATATAAGAAGCGCAAAGCACTTTTTCTTACCTTGGTCTTTATGATTGACTCAAGTTTAGCTTATATGTAGATGAATGCATTTAGGTATGTATAAAAATGCTTTTTCTAATATGCGAAGCCAAGTTACTTGGATGTTACACGAACCAAAAGTAAGCTTCTCCTTTTGTTTTAGATCATTGTGACTTAGAAGACTTTTCCACTTAAGCTGTTTGTTTATGTTTCTGTCAAGATTTGATGGAAGTTTTCTGAAAATGAAATGTCACAGATTCCTGTGACCACAGTGATGGAGACATGCCCAGGGCAGATTTGATGACTCAAAATTCTTTGTCCTTTGGAACCCACAGCACAGGGGTTTTTTTTGCTATATTCAGACATTTGGGAACTAAATGCCCTTTTAGCTTCTTTTTAGTATTTCTGGGATCCAGCGAGTGCAGACTTATCCAGCAAAAGTTAAATTTTACCACTTTAGAAGATTTACTGACATTTGTTTCTGTTTCAAAGTTAGTATTTGTGTCTACTTGTTTCTTAACTTACCAGTCAGAGAATTTGCTACAGACAAATGCACACCTATGTTTTCTTATACCAGATGATGATGTATGGCAGTCAGAGAAGAAACAAGAAATTGTACTTGGTCCAAAGACCTGCTTAATACAGGCCCATTAATGTATTTAGAGATCAATGGTTACTTAGAATATTTCACAAGAAAGCACTCGCTGCCAGTGCAAATACTGGGATCATGCATAAGCCTTAAGAGAAGGGCTAAGATGTTGCTCAATTTTGAGCAGCTGTGAAAATGGGCACTCAGGAACAGTATTTTGTGTATGTGGGAGTCTGAAACATTTAATACAAACAAATACATCTTTAGTTGTTCCTGCTTAATCTCTGCTAAAATCCACTATGACTTTGACCAGAATGCTTACTGTATCTGATACTGTTGACGTGTGTTAGACATTCATTCATATGTATTTATTTATTTATATGAAATCTCTCTCTATGTAAATGAAAAGGAAATACACATGGTTTAGCAAACTGGGGAGCTGATTTTTTTTTCCCCTCCTGAGGATTTTCAGTAATCCTTATGTTTGTACTGTGGACAGTGTGCGTGGTGTGGTTGGTCTCAATATCTTTAGTTATGTAACATAAACATCAAGCTGTGCTGTAAGTCAAACAGGGGACAAAGCAGTGTGACTGTAGTCTCTGTGGTACATCAGACTGCAGGCTGACACTATGATGGGAAGAGTTGAGTTCAGTGGAAAGACCGTCATTGATTTTAATGAACTGTGGATATGGCCCAAACTCAAGGATCGGTGGCTTGGCTTCACTGGAATGCCACCAGCATCATGTTGAGTCATGCGTGCACAGATACATATACATCCTCTTAAAGTTTAAAATAGCTTTCAAAAGGAGTGCCAGTGCCACAAGCAAAGATACCATTTGTATTTCATCATTTCCTTCTAAATGAATTCAAACACACTGCATAAGATTTTGGTACTTAACACCGGATTTAGTGGAAATGCAGTTCTGTCCCCTCATCACTCCCTCAGATGTGTTTCTATGCCAGTTCTTCCGTCTGTTTAAGGTCAATCTATTGTGTAGTTTAAGCATAAAGCTACCTAGATATCTCTCCATCTGGAGAGGTTTATCTCCATATCTTCAGTTGACAGCTTGTTTGTGCAATGAAAGGAGTGCTACAGGTTAGAACTTGAAACCACCTCTTTGGCGAGCAGCACTGAGATTTGCAGCTGATGGTATTAACAAGGATTGTTGTAACTACTGTTCTTCCCTCACTCCTGCTGACTGTTGCAGTTCCCCCCAAATGCCATGAGATCTCATCAGGTCATAGCTCACACAGCCAGGTGATCGTGCAAGACTGAACATTCTTCTGAGCAAACAAAACCAGGCAAAACTGTCAAAATACATGCCTAGCCACAAAGCTTAAAAGTAGGATCTTTAATGGTTCAGAAACTGAAAATGAAGAGATCACCAAATGTTTCCAATACACCTGCTTGTTTAAGGCATCACATAATTTTACTGACTCAGGAATGCTGAATTTTGGGTGGCTGCACTATTCTAAGCTCTTAAAACTGTAGGAAGCAATGAGAATCTTATTTCCCAGCTTCTGTTGAAATTTCTGCTTGAAAGCCTGTGGGGAAAAATGGAAGTTAGTGCACATACTTATTTTGCTTACAACTTTGATGCTGTCTTTAGGGCTGACCTCAGCAAAATGGCATGTCAAGGAGTCACACAGCCCATCCTGCTTTCACTGCCATTCTTTGGCTTTTCATCTGCTGTTCCACCCTCTCTTCTTTCTGCTGAACATGCATTTCTTAAATTTAAATGACATTTGCCAGTAAAAGAGGCTGCCATTATTCATAGGAGTCTGTTAAATATTATTGCTACCATTTGCCAAAAAATGTTATAGTAGCTTGTAGTCGTGTGTCCTTTCCTTTCTCCCAGTTAATATTTTATAAGACTGTTTTGTATTCCACTAGATTACAAAGGAAGGATACCCGCCAGCACAAAAAGGGTTAATGCTCATGTATTTGGCTGGGTCTTTGCTATTTTGAGTGCCAAGACTCTTTTTTTGCGCCTTTTTTTTTTTAGTAAGATTCCTAACTTAGCAGATTTGGAGCTGCAGCTCTTGCGGTGTGATGTGGGGACATTTGTCTCTCCCTGGATCCTGGCATCTGGCAAACCAGCATCTTTTCCCAGTCCTGTGGCACATTACTGCAGGCAGATAAAAGGGCTCTAAGGCTCTTCCTCACGGTGTCAGGATAAATTTTATCCCATTGTTCAAGAAGCTATTCATGTATTTCTAAGCACTGGTGATGACAAGAGAGGGAAGGTTTAGAGAAGATGCATCCTCTGATCCTGTTTTTCAAAGCAGTGTCAGGATTTCTGAGCTCTTCTGAATTTACCCTTTTTTTTTATATGATACATTTAATTATCTCAGTAAGAGGAAGTGAAAGGATGAGTGAAAGAAAGCAGGAGAGGCAGACAGTGTGGTATACTTGACATTTGAGAAATGACCCAAGAGTTGATCTACAAATTTAAACTATAAACCCTTAATATAATTACCCAGAAACATGCTAGAAGCCGGGAGTGTTTATTAATGGTGCTTGCTTGATTTTCTTGCTTTTTCAATCTATATGTTGTATTTGAGTTTACCTTCAAGTGATATAATACCTCATAGGGAACTTGTGGATTTATATAATTGGCTTTATATCTGAATTAAAAAGGGGGAGATGTCAACACAATTTTATAGAGAATGGTGCATAGAAAACCTCCTATGCATTAGGAGACTAAACTCAGCTGGCGATACCATCTAGGAATTGCCTTCTGTACAATAGTAATGACAGTTTTTTCCAAAATCCTTAGTTCTTTGTTTGTAGATGTGTTAAGAAAGACCTTATTTACAGATGCATAAAGCTTTAATTTTTTAAAGATTTTTGTCCTTTGAAAGAGACATAGCGTGCAGCACATCAAAGTAAATTTCAAAGCCACAATGCAACGTTTGTGTGCTCTTAAAGGTTCAAGAGCAGTACAGTGAACAGAAGAACATGAGATTGTTTATACACCTCTTGTTAACTACCAGCAGGTACTTCTTTGAGCATTTATTTTTTTGTTGTTTATTTTCTTTTTTTGAATCTGTCTTTCACACACCATCACTATGTTGCTACTGTGCTGACGGGAGAGTGGATTTAATGAGTTGAACTCCTAAAACTGTGGGCTCTGCAATAATTAAAAGCGATATCTTATTGTATAAGAAAATACATTGCAATGTTAAGGTTCTTATGATAAATGTTTCGTGAGAGGATCTGAGTTTGTCTTCGTGGGGAGGTGCTGATAAAACCTGTAGAACGGGTAGGTGACTTTGC